TTATTATTATTATTATTATTATTATTATTATTTTGGTAACTAGCTTTATTAATTACCAGAACAGCATTATAAATCAAAGCAAACTATCACAGTTGCTTACATCTTCAGAATACCAACTACTCTTCCTCTTACACTATTATTAGGCCTCATCACAACAATTACATCTTTGAATTTTTAAAGGAAATCCTAGCCATAGTTACACAAACAATTTCTTTTGCTATATTCTCTTCCTTTTTGCTCTTGTTTTCAAATATTCTGTTGTTTCTCTCTATCCATAGCCTATAAATTCCTTCTGTCAGCACAGTCTTGAACCTTTGAGTTGTAGCTCTTTTTCCTTTCCCATTCTGAATACACCAGTTCTGAAATTGTTCCCACACCAATGGAACAGTGCTATGTTGACCTATACTTTCCAGTATTCTCTTCCACACCTTCCTTGCATATTGGTAATGCAGAAACAAGTGCTCTGCAGACTTTTCAGCATTCTTACATAGAACACATTCTTTCCCTTCTTCAATTCCCCATTGCACTACTTTATCAACAGTTGACAGCTTTTGATGCATCATAATCCATATTATGATATATGCTTTTGGTCTTGCTGCATTCCTGTACATAAGACATGTCCAGGCTAGTCTTTGCTTCATTTCTTTCAAGTGATAGTAGATTTGCCTGAGCACTCCTTTCCGTCTGCTTGGTAGTTGTTGTACTTGATCAACTAGAATCTTTGCATTCATTATTTTCTTTACCATCCAGCTTGCATTGTTACTCATCCTCCATTCTCTCTGTCCTTTTATATAGTAGGCATGTATCCATTTAATCCACAGCTTATCAGCTTTGTTTTCTAGATCCCAGCATAGCTTAGTTATTGCAGCCCTGTTCCATATTTTTATATTAAGCAATCCTAATCCACCTTCATACTTAGGGCAGCACACTTTATCCCAAGCAACTAAGGCCTTCTTTGTTACATGGCTCACCCCTGACCATAGATAGCTTTTGCATAAACCTTCAATCAACTTGATTATCTTTGCTGGAATTATAAACAACTGTGCCCAGTAAGTCTGCACTCCAAACAATACAGTCTTGACTAGTTGAGCTCTTCCTGCATAAGATAACTTTTTTGTTGTCCAGGAATTGATTCTTGCCATGATTTTATCTATAAGTGGATATCATTGAAGTGTAGTTAGTTTCTTTGATGACAGAGGTACCCCCAAATATTTGAATGGCAACTCTTCCATTATGTAACCAAGTTCTTGAACAATTTGTTGTCTCACCTCCCTCTGAATTCCACCACAATAAATTGAGCTTTTGTTGAGATTTGCTTGCAGACCTGAGGCTTGAGAAAACTCTAAGAAACATTTTTGTATTTCCTTTATAGAATTAAGATCACCTCTAGAGAATAACGGCAAATCATCTGCAAAACACAAGTAAGTTATATCCAGCTTTGAACACTTAGGATGATATTTGAAATTCTTCTCTTCTTTGAGTCCTTTGAGCAATCTACTAAAGTACTCCATAGCTATAGTAAATAGGAAAGGTGACATTGGATCTCCTTGTCTAAGTCCTTTAGCTGCATCAAACCTTTGAGTGTTCTGACCGTTCACAACAATTGTATAGTTCACTGTTTTAACACACTGCATTACCCAATGAGTGAATAGTTCAGGAAATCCCAAACCCTCCATCACCTGTTCCAAGTATGGCCATTCTACTGAATCATAAGCTTTTTGCAAATCAATTTTTAGCATACTTCTTGGAGAAACATTCTTCCTAGTATATGCCTTAACCAGTTTATGAGCTAGGATTATATTATCTCCAATTTTTCTCCCTGGGATGAAGCCTGCTTGACTCTCACTTATAACACTGTGAATTACTCCATGTAGTCTTTGAGTTATCACTTTTGAGATGATTTTGTAGAATACTGTACAGCAAGCAATAGGTCTATATTCTTTCACATTCTTTGGACTATGTACTTTTGGTATTAGAGTAACAAGAGTGCAGTTGAAAGGCTTAAAGAGTTTCCCTGTAGTGAAAAAACTCTTAATAGCCTCAATAACATCCTATTCAATAATCTTCCATGTGTGTTTAAAGAATAGAGCATTATAACCATCAATACCTGGAGCCTTATCATTTCCAATGGACCTCAAAGCTTCAACTATCTCATGATCAGTTATTGTTGCACAAAGCTCAATTCTCTGTTGTCTTGACAAAACAGGACCCCTTTTCATTACCTGAACATCTATAGCTGCCAATTTTTCTGCTGCTGTTCCCATTAAGCTTTTATAAAATAGGACAAACTCATCTTGAATCTCTTGAGGTTCTGACAGCTTCCTTCCATCTAATGACATCAAACTCCTTATATTCTTCTTATGACTTCTCTCCTTTATCACTGAGCTGAAGTATTTGTTATTTGCATCCCCCAACTTAATCCATTTTGCTCTAGCTTTTTGTCTAAGAGCACTTTCTTCAATCAAGGACCACTTTTCAAGTTTTATTAAGAGTTTTTTTCTTTAGCAACTAACTCATCCTTTGCTTGATGACACAGCTGATATTGAATGTCACCCAGCTCATTTCTAGCTTCCTCAATCTGGTTACTGATATATTTGAACTCTTTCCTATTCAGCTGTTTCAGTACAAGTTGAAGAGCTTTCAACTTATTCCACACCTTTTTCATTGCATCCCTGTCTTTCTCCTTCTTCCACACTTGCTCCACCAGGCCTAAGAATGATTCATGTTCTACCCATATATTGAAGAATTTAAAACTTGCCCTTACATGTTTATTGCTTTGATGAAGAACCAGCTGCATTGTGTTATGATCTGATACTCCTGGATTGCCATATTCTAATATGACATGTCCCCACTTATCCATCCATTCATTATTCCCAAAGGCTATATCAATCCTACTTAAGACTCTGGCATTACCTATCTGCTTATTACTCCAGGTATAGTAACTTCCTCTCCACTTTAATTCATGAATGCCCATAGTTTTAACACAGTCTGCAAAATCCCTTATCTCACTCTCATTAACAGGAGCTCCAGCTTGTCTATCTTTTGGGGATAAAATAGCATTAAAGTCTCCAATTATGAGCCATGGAGATATCACGTTTTGAACCATCTTGTTCAGATCAGTCCATAAACTCTTCCTCTACTCTTTAGTATTAAAACCATATATAACTGAGAGATTAAACTGGAACCCTTTGCTTCTTTCCTTTACTTGACAATGTATCATCTGAGCTGTACTATTTATTAACTGAACATCATACCAGTTATCATCCCATATAATCCAAATTCTCCCATTAGCAGCATCATTATAATTGTGCAGACTTTTCCAACCTGGTGCTATCCCATTCATTGTTGTAGTTGCATTACCCTTGTTTCAATTAGCCCTGCTAAAGACACTTTATTCAGCTGTAAGAACAACTTTATTTCTTTTTGTTTATACCTCTTATTCATTCCCCTCACATTCCAATTACTATTATTATTATTGTTGTTGTTGTTGTTGTTGTTGTTGTTGTTGTTGTTGTTGTTGTTGTTTTTATTATTATTATTATTTCTAATGTTATTATTATTATTATTATTTTAGTTATTATTCTTATTATTATTATTATTTTTTGTTATTGTTGTTATTATTATTATTATGTTGTTATTATTATTATTATTATTATTATTATTATAATTATTATTATTATTATTATTATTATTATTATTATCATCATTATTATTATCATTATTATCATTATTATTATTATTATTATAATTATTATTATTATTATATCT